TAGTGTGCTCTGTCAAAAGATAGTACATTTGTAGTTTTGTTAGGGTATTGCCAAATTCCTCTCCTGAGTAGTTCTAGCAGTTTGTGTCCCCATCAGTAGTAGACGGCCTGTTTTGCTATAGCCTCCCCCCCCCCCCCTTTTTTTTTTTTTTTTTTGGAGACAGTGTCTCATTCTGTCGCCAGGTGCCAGGCTGGAGGGCAGTGGCTCAACCTCCACCCATTGCAACCTCTGCCTCCCGGGTTCAAGCAATTCTCCTGCCTCAGCCTCCCGAGTAGCTGGGACTACAGACGTGCGCCACCACGCCCAGCTAATTTTTTATGTTTTAGTAGAGACGGGGTTTCACTGTTTTGGCCAGCATAGTCTTGATCTCTGGGCCTCGTGATCCGCCCACCTCGGCCTCCCAAAGTGCTGGGATTACAGGCGTGAGCCACCGCGCCTGGCCTAGCCTCCCCTTTCTTAATTGTGTTATGCTTTACTTTTTCTATTCTTGATGTTCTTTGGTTTTAATTTGCATTTTGGGGGGCAGGTTTTAACATCTCATATCTTTTGTAAATTGTTTCATTGTTTTTTGGGGTGTTTATTTTGTTTTATTTTTTCTTCCTTCATGTTTAAGTGGTTCTTAATATCAACATTTTAAAAGTATGGTCTGTGGATGCCTGAAGGTCCCTGAAAACTTTTTTAGGTTCAAGGGCAAAACTGTTTTTATAACAATATGAAAGTATTACTTATCTTCTTCACTGTGTTGTTACTTGAGTGAAGGTTCAGAAACAATGGTGGTTAAAACTGTGGGCTTTGTAGCCCAAATCAAGGCATTGGCACCAAACCTTATAATAACAGTCATTGTCACACACTCATAGATTAAAAGAAAAATTTTAGTTTTATTTAAGAATGACTTGAAGCAGTAAGAATTATGTCTTATTATGTTTCAACCCTTGAGTACATACATTTTCAGTAGTCTAGGTATGCAGATGGGAAACGTGCCTAAAGTACTTCTGCCGTGTACTAAAGTGCTAGTGTGATTATTTGAATTGCAGCTGTGTATTCAGTTGGGGATGGAAGGCAGAAAATTTGACTTGAAGGAACAATTGTTTACTTGAAGGAATGTATGGTTATCTATACTTGAATATTTGACAAACGTTTTTCTCCAAAATGAATGAATACCTTGCTGCTTCAAGGAGAACGATTCTTGATAGTATTTGTTGCTAACAATGAAAACTGATTTTTAAAACAAAAATTAAAATTTGAGAAGTTTTTATTTGCTTTTCAGTACTTAAAGACTTTTTTGATGAACTTGATAGTAACACATGATTTTAAAATACACCTTGTGGTGAAATGTGGCATCATTTGGAAGACTTGCCTAACTCAGGGAACCAGTATTTTCCAAAAGGCTAAGGCATGCTATAATAAAATTATACACACGTAAAATACCCATTCAAAGTGTAAAACAGGCCAGTAGATATTCATGCATCAGTACAGACAGTTGATTGATATGGTTTCAAACTGTGCTTTATTACTTTCCTTTAGGAAACTATCATTTATTAAGTTTTTGGCATAAAACCAAATGTGAATATTCGTAATTACCTAAAACATCTACTAAAATAACTTTTGAGACAGAGTCTCGCTCTGTCACTCAGGCTGTAGTGCAGTGGTGCAATCTCGGCTCACTGAAACGTCCACCTCCCAGATTCAAGCAATTCTCCTGCCTCAGCCTTCCAAGTAGCTGGGACTACAGGTGCACGCCACCGTGCCTGGCTAATTTTTTGTTATTTTAGTAGAGCAGGGTTTTACCATGTTAGCAAGGATGGTGTCAGTCTCCTGACCTTGTGATCCCACTGCCTCGGCCTCCCAAAGTGTTGGGATTACAGGATTGAGCCACAGCGCCCGGCCAGTAACTCCTCTTTTTCAACCACTGTATATGTGTATGAAAAGTTGAATTTTCTTTGTGTACTTTAACAAAAAGCAGCATACAACAAGAGGGTTTGTTACAGTGCTTTTCCACCAACTTTTTTTTCTCTTCAGCAGTGAATGTCAGATTTTGTCAAAGGCTTTTTCAGGATCTTGGAGATAATCATATAATTTTTTTCTTTAGATTTATTAATAGGATGTGTTATACCAGTGGATTTCCTAATATACTAAGCTTGCATTCCTAGAATAAATCTCTTTATCATGGAGTATTTATGTAATGTTGGCTTTTGTTTGCTTATTTTTATTTTGTATTTTGCACTGATAAAAATAAATTATGTTGCGCTGTAATTGGGGGATTGGTTATTATGGACAGTAATTATCAGATTTCCCCGTCAATATTATACTTGCTTCATAAAAATAATCTAGAAGATTTCCTTTATATCAGTGTTCTGGAACAATACATTGTATTGAGGCTGTCTGGATATTGCATGTTTTGGCACGATTCCCCTGTGAAATTATTTGTGCCCAGTGCCTTTTTGTGGGATAATTCCCTCATAAATTTTTTTGCTTTTTCTCCAGAAATTCGCCGTTTTAAGCTTTTTGTTTATATAGAGTCAATTTTGGTCATCTATATTTCCTTAAGGAATTATGTTTTATTTATGCTTTCAAATTTATTTGAATTTTTTCTGTAGTCTGTTTTATGTTTTCTAGTGCCATACTAATAGTTATTTGTCTCTAATAATTTATTTTTGAAATTTTAGTCCTTCTTTTATTTTGAAATGTGAATATTATTTTTGAATTATGATGAGCGCACAGTTTTGTGTACAGTAGTCCCCTCTGAACCATGGGGCATATGCTCCCCCAGTGGATGCCTGAGTTCAAGGATAGTATCAAACCCAATGTTGTTGTTAATTGGAGCACATTTCTGTTCCTGTCTTCCACTCATAAGTTTAATGACCCACTCACAAGTTTAATGCCTTTTCCATTTTAAATAAGTACTTACCATGCACTCTGGCCAAACCCTTGCAGTTTAAGGTGTGACAGCAAAACTAGCACAAATTCCTTTTTCCTCCTTCACAATTTCCTCCTCCACAACTTCTCCCTGTAGATCTTAGTAACCTCAGCATATGATTTTTTTTTCTATTAAGTGGAGGACTTTCACCTTCTCAAAGGAAACTCTTTGGCATATCCGAATTGCCAGCATCACTACTAGTGCACTTTGGGGCCATGATTAAGTAAAATAAGGGTGACTTGAACACAAGCATTGTGCTACCTCTCCACAGTTGATCTCATAACTGTGACAGCTACTGAATGTCTGTAACAAGCAGGAGCCCCTATGGCATGGAGACACTGGACAAAGGGATGAGTCACATCTTAGATGGGATGGAGCAGGATGGCAAAAGATGTCAACACGCTACTCGTAATGGTGTGCAGTTTAAATCTTACAAATTGTTTATTTCTGGAGTTTTCCATTTAAAATTTTCAGACTACAGTTGACCTCAGGTAACTGAAGCCAAGAACATGAAACTGAGGATAAGGGAGGACCACTGTAGTTTATCTGTTTTTGTTTGATTAAATTTTGGGAAGATATATAAAGAGATTCAGATGGTTACCATTGTGTTCAGTTACTCACAAATTTCCCTGTTTGTTATTATTTTCTTTTTTCATATTAACTTCTTTTCATATTCACTTTATTGCCATATAATTCACATACCATACAATTCAGGTATGCAGTTCATTGGTTTTTGGCATGTTCAGAGTTGTGTGACCATCACCAGAGTCCATTTTAAAACATTTTCATTACTGTAAAAGAGAAAAAAAACAATTCACACCAATTGGCTTATCACTCCCCAATCCGTGTAGCCCTAGACAACGACCAATTGCGTTTTTGTCTCTATAGATATGCCTTTCTGAGCATTTTATGTAAATGGAATAGTAGAATATATTGACCTTTGTGAACTGTTTTCACCTTAGCGTGATGTTTTCAAGGTTCATTCATGTTGTGTACTGTGTATCAGTACTTCATTCCTTTTTACATACAATATTTCATTGTATGGATATACCACCTTTTATTTATCCATTCATCAGTTGATGGATACTTGAAATAGTTGGTATTTATTCTTTTTTAAGAAGAGGCTTTTTTTTTTCCTTTTGCTACTTTTGTAGGCTTTGGGATAGGAGGAAAGGTGATATATGCACTATTTGTGGTGAACATAGTGTCCTCTGTTGAGGACTGGAAAGCTGAGGGAGGAAGCTGTTACCTTTGTTGTCAGGCAGTTTAAATTGTACAATTTTATACAAAACATATGTATCTGGCTTAATGATTCTGTAGCCTTAGGAAAATGTATGATAACTCTTTAGATTACTCTAGGTACTCCATTTCCTTTCTAGAGAATAGTATAGAGTCCTTTCAGATTAGGTAATCTTTTAATAACTTGAAAATATTTTGAATTTTTTTTATACTGGCCTGTCCTGAGTCATTGTGGCAGAGATTCTAGGCTCTTTCAGAAGTGTACTTTTGTGATTTAGTTTTTTAAAAAGCTAATTTTACAATGTTTGTTCAGTATTGCTAAGGTACACCTTCTATGGTATAGTGTGCGCAAGACATTATATTCCGTAGAGCTTTTTAGAAGTTTGCAGAAGTTGTTGAAAGTTGAAATAACTAATACTTGATTTCCAAAGCAGTTGGTATTTTATTATGTAAAATGACAAATGCTGGATAAGTCTGTCATCTCCTAAATCAGTTGCCAGTATGAATGATGATCACACTGGACACTGCCAGTCTCCTCAGGGCCTCTTCTGATAATCAAAACTAAAGTCAGGATTTCAGCATTAATAATTTGTAAATGTCTTTGTTTTTTAAAGAACATGTATATAGGTGGCAATTTTAAATATTCTTTTATGTCCAGTAGTTATTAGCGTTTGCATTCTCATACAAGGATAGTTCTAATAGGGAACCATGCGAGTGAGTGTTTATGGATCATGGATGTATTAAGATTGTAAGTTTTGTATTTTAACTTCTCTAGATTGTAGAGTATGATATAACAATTATTTTTGTCCTTAATAGCAATATTTTACTGTGATTTTTACTTTAGGCTCCTGGATTTGGATTTGGAATTGCAATATCTGGTGGACGAGATAATCCTCATTTTCAGAGTGGGGAAACGTCAATAGTGATCTCAGATGTGCTGAAAGGAGGACCAGCTGAAGGACAGCTACAGTAAGAGCTACTTACCGTGGGCACCTGTGCGACAAGCAGTGTCCTGTCCTCAGGCACTGGCCTACTATCTTAGTGATTTTGCTATATTCACACACCACCTGTGCCATGGTTCATATATTTTTCTTTAAATTAACATGTTTACTTAAGCAGGAAACTTCGGCCAGGTATGGTGGCTCACTCCTGTAATCCTAGCACTTTGGGAGGCTGAGGTAGAGGGATCACTTGAGACCAGGAATTGAATATCAACCTGGGCATCACAGGGAGGACCCCATCCCTACAGAAAAATGTAAAAATTAGCTGGGAATGGTGGCATGGTGCCTGCAGTCCCAACTAATTGGGAGGCTGGAGAGTCCCTTGAGCTTAGGATTCTGAGGCTGGAATGAGCCATGATTGCACCACTGTACTCCAGCCTGGGTGACAGAGCGAGACCCTGTCTCCAAAGAAAATAAAAGGAAGGTTTATCTCTATGGTAAGTGAAAAGCTGTTTTCACTCACTTTAAATAGAATGTGTAACTGTAAAAACAGTGGAAAAAATTTCTAATTCCATTTTGGGTAGAATCTAGCTTTCAGAAGCCTCTCTCCCCGTCTTGCACCCTTTTTGTGCCATATGAAGATTAGCAAGATAAAGAGAAACACAAAATATACTACCAAAATAATGACACTATAATTAGAAGAGTTAAAAGAAAATTAAATTTTGAAAAGTTTACTTTTTAAAAGGGAATAAGTTTTCCAGCTATATGACTTAGTATCATTTAATGCTCTGTAACTGTACTACCAAGAATCATTTCATGTATTGTGATACCTGTTTGGGCAAATACTTTGTTAATTACTTAAAAAAGTTAAAGACCTGTTGTTAGTTACTTGTTAAACATTCTGTGGAGAGATCTGAAAGTAAATCGATTGACATTATTTTATTGTTGATCTGAAGAGAAATTATTAATTAGCTCACAATTAAAATACATTTTAGAAGGACCTATCTTGAAAATATCATCATAAACTTACCAAAAGGTTTTTCTGTCACATACTGTTTTGTGCCCTTTTTTCCCTAGGGAAAATGACCGAGTTGCAATGGTTAATGGAGTTTCAATGGATAATGTCGAACATGCTTTTGCTGTTCAGCAACTAAGGAAAAGTGGGAAAAATGCGAAAATAGTAAGTATCTCTTCTCTTTAATTTAGTAAAGGTACCTCAACTGTATTGTTGGTACATTTCTGGTATTTGAATTTATCCTTCCTATTTAAGAAAATGAAAATGGAAACAGTAGTTCCAAAGTTAGTATTACACTTAAGAGTGTTTCTTCTAACACTGGTGTTTGTCACTGGTTTGTTTATTTTCTCAAAGTTTAGATACCAGGATTTTTTTCAGTTTAAAAAGCAAAGGGGACCATTGACTAGTTCCCTCTTTCTGGCTTAGTGTTTTCTCCTCTTTTCCTCCTCTGCAGTCACGTGCTGCATGACAGTGTTTTGGTCAACAACAGACCACGTATTCGACAGTGATTGATTCCATAAGATTATAGTACTGTATTGACCGTGTTTAGATACACACATACTTACCATTGTGTTGCAGTCCCCTGTAGTATTCAGTCCAGTAACGTGCTGTACAGGCTTGTAACCTGGGAGCAGTAGCTTATCCCATGTAGCATAGACATGTGTGTAGTAGGCCTTACCATCTGGATTTGGGAAGATGCATGCTGCGATGTTTGCACAAAGACAGAATTGCCTAACAATTCACTTCTCATAATATATCCCCATTGTCAAGTGACGCATGACTGTACTGAAGTTAGATTGGATCTTGGTATGTAGTTAGTTTGAAATATATGGCCCTATTTTCTGGTATAAGATTGGTTTACTGGGCAAGTTTTGCATTATCGCTTGAATACATGTTTGTCAGCATCTCCTTTCCTTATTACTCTGATAGTTTGAGGAGAGAGAAGATCTGAGATTGTTTTTTATAGAGTTGTTCAGAGTACATTTAATGTTACTTTTTTACCGTATAGCTAGAGTCATTTCATATTTCTCTGAGAAGTCTACTTTTTATTAAGGGAAAAAAAATTCAATTAACTCTTAATGACTGGCCTCAAATCACAGTTAAAACTTGGCGAATGTAACACAGTAGATTTAATGTAAAAGTTTTATTTATTTTTTTGAGACACAGCCTCACTCTGTCACTCAGGCTGGAGTGCAGTGGCATGATCTTGGCTCAGTGCAACCTCTGCCTCCTGGGTCCAAGCAATTCTTGGGCCTCAACCTCCCAAGTAGCTGGGAACACAGACAAGTGCCACCACGCCCAGCTAGTTTTTGTATTTTTAGTAGCGATGGGGTTTTGCCATATTGGCCAGGCTGGTCTCGAACCTCTGACTTCAAGTGATCTGCCTGCCCTGGCCTCCCAAAGTGCTGGGATTACAGGCATTAGCTACCATGCCCAGCCAGAAGTCTTACTTAAAATGATATTCACACTTTGAGGACTACAGGAGCCATTTCATCCACTTTGGTCCTCCTCGGTTTTGTTTGTTGTTTGATTGTTTTTGAGATAGAATATCACTCTTGTTACCCAGTCTGCAGTGCAATGGCGTGATCTTGGCTTGTCCCGCAACCTCTGCCTTCCAGCTGCAAGTGATTCTCCTGCCTCTGCCTCCCAAGTAGCCAGGATTACAGGCATGCACCACCACGCTCAGCTAATTTAGTATTTTTAATAGAGACAGGGTTTCTCCATGCTGGTCAGGCTGGTCTCAGAACTCCCGACCTGAGGCGATCCACCCACTTCAGTCTCCCAAAGTACTGGGATTACAGGCCCTGCACATCAGGTGAGCCACCATCCTTAGGTGAGGCACCGTGCCCAGCTTCCTCTCCTGTTTTTATTCCATCCTGCCTCTGAACGGACTGATAAAGGTAGCCTTGAAGCTTCAGCTCAGGTGTAGAAAGCTGAAGAGGCTGGGTGATGTGCCCTGCCTTGCCCTTTGAGAACCTTTCTGCCTCTCAGCAGATGCTCAGAACCACAGCAGACCTGATGGAAAGGATAAGGGTGGGTGCAGGGAGGCCTGCTTTGAGTTTTAATGTCTGGGAGCAGTGGTAAAAGCTGGAACGGATATTCCTGAGACTGCACCCATCACTTGCTCTGTCCTTCTGCCCTGTGTAGGCTGCTTTGCTATATGTATGGCTTATCTCCGCATCACTGCTGGTGAGATGAGAGTTCTCTCATATTGCAGTAGGACCAGTGTTTGGTTATGGCATTGTTCCAGATTAACAGACTTCTATTTTGTATGTTTTGACAATCTCATTGTAGTCCAGTTTTACAACTGCAGTGTTACTTTAAAATTATAACAGACTGCCTAGTGGATGACAGTTTTTAAGTAGTTTTTTATAACATGAGGTTGCACTGTTTACAGAAGCAAATTGCTGATTTTTTTGGTTTTAAAACAGCAAATTGCTAATAGTTTTGTTGGGTTTGATCAGTTGAATGAGCTTGAGTTTCTTGCATTAGCTGCTAATCCTGAGCACCATCATTATTCTGCAGAGTGTTCTTCAGGTAGCTTGCTGCACATTCCAGGGCCAGCACCTTAGGAAACTTGTTTTTTATCCCTTGTATCTGAGGTGTGGTGAGCTTCACCCATACTTCCCAACTTTTTGAGCCCTCCATTCCTCTGTGATCTTGAGCTGTTTTGTTTTTCCATGCAACGAATTTGGCACACATAGCCTACATTGATAATATATCTGAGAAAGTTGCATTTCTGTACTCAAGACTTTTCCACATGGAAATCATGTTAGGTCTAAAATCAGTAATGTGTTTGAAATAGCACATTCTTGGCCCAGCATGTAAAGAGAAGGATTTGGGGGCTGCTCAAAGCTTTATCAGTTGGAAAGGTGTTTTTGCTCTGTGGGTAGAGGCTGTAGAGGCTTTTGGCAGAAAGGTATTTTAATTTAAGAAGCAGCAGTTGTTGATTTTTGCATTTTGACGGTTTCAATCATGTCATTAATTTACATTGAAGCTTTCATTGCCTTACGACTGTTAGAATAAAACCCCTATGTCTGAGAGTGTGGCCTTTGATTATAAGAGGCATTTTTGAACCTCATCCCCAGACATAACCAGAGCCATTATATATGTGGTGTTTATTTTCCCCAATTGTGAACTAACAGATTCTCTTCCCTACTCTCTGTTCTACTGATCTCTGTCTTCTCTGCTGTGCCTCCTACATTTCGGGGTGTTTTGTTGATGGGATTATCTTTTCACAAACTGAGAGCCCTTTGGGCATTATGCTCAGTACATGAGTTCTTTCCCATTGAATTAAGATGTTAGAACTCTTTGGTGATAGAACTGCCGTAAGTATGCTTAATTTTGTTTAGCAATAGATGAAAGGAATCTGGAAATAGTTATTGTTTGTAACACAATGAGCCTGTATAATTTACTAAAATTCTGAACATACTAATAAAGCGTTAGAAGTGGATGAAGAGACAAAAACACCTTCCTAGCAAAAACCTCTGTGAGCATTTCAGAACAGTTATGTGTTGCTTAATGATGGGAATAGGTCTTGAGAAATGCATCATTACATGATTTCATCATTGTGGGAACATCAGTGTACTTAAACAAACCTGAAAGGTATAGCCTACTACACTTAAGCTATATGGTATGACGGATTGCTCCTTGGCTGTAAACCCCATACAACATGTTACTGTACTGAATACTGTAGGCATTTGTAAAACAGTGGTAAGTATGTATGTCTAAACATGGAAAAAGTACAGTACAAATACATAACAAATAAAAAAATGATATGCCTGTATAGGACACTATGAGTGGAGCCTGCAGGATTAGAAGTTGCTCTGAGTGAGTCAGTGAGTAAGTAGCAAGTGAATGTGAAGTCCAGGACAGTACCACACACTACTGTACACTTTAGAAACACTGTCCATTTAGGCTGCACTGAGTTTATTTTTAAGATTTTAATATTTTTAATGTATTTAATATTTTATAAATTTATTTAAAAGTCTTCTTTCTTCAGTAATTAACCTTAGCTTACTGAAACTTTTTTAACCTGTAAACTTTTTAACTTCTTGACTCTTTTAGTAACACTTAAAACACAAACACATCGTACAGTTATACACAAATACTTTTTTCTATTTAAAATTTTTTTTGTTTTTTTAAGACAGTTTCACTCTGTTGCCCAGGCTAAAGTGTGGTACCATGATCTTGGCTCGCTGTAACCTCCACCTCCTTGGCTCAAGTGATTGTTGTGCCTCAGCCCTGGGATTACAGGTGCCTGCTACCACATCTGGCTAATTTTTGTATTTTTAGTAGAGACAGGGTTTTGCCATGTTAGCCAGGCTGGTATTGAACTCCTGACCTCAAGTGATCTGCCTACCTTGGCCTCCCAAAGTTCTGGGATTGCAGGTGTTAGCCACCACACCTGGCCTAAAGTTTTCTATTTTTTACTTTTTAATTTTTTTGGTAAAAAGACACATGCACACATATTAGCCAAGGCCGACCCAGGGTCAGGATCATCAGAATCACTGTCTTCCACCTCTGCAACTTGTCCTAGTGGGAGGTCTTCAGGGCCAGTAACACACTTGGAGCTGTCATTTCCTATGACAGCAGTGCCTTCTTGTGGGACACCTCCTGAAGGACCTGCCTGAGGCTGTTTTCTCAGTTAACTTTAAAAAAAAAAGTAGGACACACTCTGGAATAAGGATAAAAAGTATAGCAAATATATAAGCCAGTAACATGATCATTATCGAGTGTTACATTCTGTACATAATTGTATCTGTTCCACTTTTATTCCTTTGGCAGCATGTTAGGTTTGTTTCCCCAGCATCTCCACAAACATGAGTACTGCAGTGCGCCCACAACGTTATGACCCTATGCGTCTCTAGGTGATAGGAGTTTTTCAGCTCTGTTGTAATATTATGGGGCATCTATAATATTTGTTGTCCATTGTTTTATGTGGCGCATGACTATATGTATCCACATGGCAATGCAGCATTTCACATGTACCTGTATGTATCCAGCCCACTCATTCATGGACATTTCCATGTCCAGTCTACAAGTTTTTTTTTTTTTTTTTTGAGACGGAGTTTCGCTCTTGTTACCCAGGCTGGAGTGCAGTGGCGCGATCTCAACTCACCGCAACCTCCGCCTCCTGGATTCAGGCAGTTCTCCTGCCTCTGCCTCCTGACTAGCTGGGATTATAGGCACGTGCCAGCTAATTTTTTGTATTTTTAGTAGAGACGGGGTTTCACCATGTTGACCAGGATGGTCTCGATGTCTTGATCCACCCGCCTTGGCCTCCCAAAGTACTGGGATTACAGGCTTGAGCCATTGCACCCAGCCCATATTTGTGTGTGTGTGTGTGTGTGTATTTAAATTCAGCTGCGAAAATTATCATATTGCTACCTACTTCTTTAGTTAATTTTTAAGAATAATTTTCTAAGAGTGGTTTTTCAGAGTCAGAAGGCCTAAATGACTTTTGATACATGTATTGCCAGTTTGTCCTTCAGAAAATTAGTAGGCTATTGTCTGAATCTTTGCTGAGCTGATAAACTAAACAGGTGTTTCAAAGGAAACATTTTAAATCACAAGTGAATTTGAACCTCTCATGATGTATTTACTCCCTATTTGTTTTTTCATTTACCTGTTCATGTTCCTTACATTTATATGATGGTGATGATCATACTAGAGTGTTTTATGGAGTCAAATTATTAGCCTTTTGTCATACATACCTCATGTGTTGTTATCCTCTTGCTTTTGTGAATGTAAAGTTGGGTTTGTTATTTTTGTATCATTTTCTTACAACATTTAAGTTTTAATTTTTATTTTGTCATGTCTATGAGACTTTTCACTGTACTGGTTCTGCCTTGGTGTCATGTTTCCAAAGCCTTTTAGTTGCGGAAGCCTCTCTCTGGTGTTTTATTCGATTTCTTGCATGATGTCATTTTGTTTATTTTATTTATTTATTTATTTTTTTTTTTTGAGACGGAGTTTCGCTCTTGTTACCCAGGCTGGAGTGCAATGGCGCGATCTCGGCTCACCGCAACCTCCGCCTCCTGGGTTCAGGCAATTCTCCTGACTCAGCCTCCTGAGTAGCTGGGATTACAGGCACGCACCACCATGCCCAGCTAATTTTTTGTATTTTTAGTAGAGACGGGGTTTCACCATGTTGACCGGGATGGTCTCGATCTCTTGACCTCGTGATCCGCCCGCCTCAGCCTCCCAAAGTGCTGGGATTACAGGCTTGAGCCACCGCGCCCGGCTATCATTTTGTTTATTTTACATTTGAGTCTTCAGTTAAGTTGAACTGTTTTGAAGTAGAAATTTTTTTCCCTAAACATTTTTATTTCAAAATTTTCAGTGTTAAAATGAAGCTTAGTTGTCATACCTACTAAATATTATTCACATTTGTTTATATACTTTTAAGTAGAGAATTATAATAGGACTGGATACCTTTCAATAAGGTAAGCACCTACTAGATATAAGCATTGTATTATATGTACAGTTAAATGCATGCGAAGGAATGTCTGTCTCAAGGATATGGAATCTTAGTGGGCTGGATAGGTATGCATACTGATAACCATAGAATGCATATCATCTGAGGTTGATAGGTCAGGTACAGTAGAATCCTAGAGAGGTGGCACACTCTTACAGGAATGATAAGGAAAGCCTTGAGTGCTCATCTGATAACTTTGTGTTTGTTTATTACTAGGAAGGAACTGAAGATTAAAATACTAATACCATTTATTGCTTCCACTGTAATATGTTGCTTCCACTACAATATGTTAGAGGTGAGATGTAAAAGCAGGCAGCTAGCATTAGGAGTACTTCACAGAAAATGTTACCCGATAAGGACCTCACCTGTGGTTGCCCCACGATGGGAAGAGCAGCCTTTCTCTTTCAGTTCCTAACAGGGCATTGGCTGTCGTCCTTTCCACATGTGCTGGCCTCTGCTGCTTCTTGATCAGCCCTCTGAAGAAGAGATAAGATGCTAACATGCAGGTGAATAGCAAGACACAGAAATAGAAGATTAATTGGGAGCTTAGTAGGCGAGGACAGATTTTAGGTAAATAAAAGATTGAAGTTGCAGGTAAGTTGAAGAAAAAAGTCTTAGAGGTAGGTAGGGATAAGAATGAAAATGCAAATACAAGGGTTTCATTCATCCAGGAAGATGATCACCTTGGTCTTTGAGGCCAAAAGGAAGGAGGATCAAATAAATGAGATACTGAAAATATTTAGGAGGGAAGTGGGGGTAAAATGGTACTGACCTTCTTAAAGCGGGCTGAGTGACTCGGATCTTGAAGAATGGTTGTGGAATACCTGCATTAGCAAATTTAATCGAGAGGCTACAAGATGTAGATAAAAGGATTGCCGAACAAGAACAAGACTTCTGTAAAATGGATTTATATAGGGCCTAATCAGCAAAGTGTGGAAGGGAAGGTAACACAGGACTGCAGTTTGTCATGGCAGATGATTTGAGGGGTCAGTAGAAAGTTATTCAAGTATGGCAGTAGGATGTCTCATGCAAACTTGGTGGAGGGATGCAAGTGAAACCAGGATGGAACTAATGAACGGAGAATAAGAGAGGATGAAGAAATTGGAAATAAGATAATGAAAAGTTTCAGCAGATCAAGGTGTCCGAAGTAGAAGACAAGGAGTGATACACAAGAAGATCTTGCAGAACTACAGTGAGGTCAAATGTACGCTATTGTGGGAAGGCAAAGTGTAGTCCACGGATTACAGGGCCACTTCATCAGCAGGTGTAATACATGTAGATCTTCAGCTTGCACAGAGTGAAGGAAATAAGCGGACAGACAGTACAGAGCCAGTTACCAGAGTCATTGAGAAAAGAATGCCAGAGGGAAGAATTTGGACCTAGAGGGCAAATACAAATTGGAGAGATCCAGAGACTGAAAGCAGTTTGTGTTGGTGAAGTACAGCTGAATTCATTTGCTCCAACATTTTATTCAATGTTAGTGTGGCTGTAGAATAAACTTATCTTAGAGGTCTGGGGCAGTTGTGTGCCTTGATAATGATACATTCAGCGTTTTAAGGAATCAAGTTAGACTTGGAAGTTTGCTGTAGTTTTGGTAGCACCTGGAATATATTTGATGGCCTTAGGATACAGTGCTGTCCTTTTTATTCAAACCACCAGCAGTTGTTAGTGTCCCTGTAAGCTTGTGATTATTACACCAGGAAGAGCTTTCTGTGGGAAGTAAATAAACTTGTTTTTAGGCTCATTCTTTCTAATTTGTGCTTAACCAGATCTGTTTATCAAGAGAGCAGAAAACACAGCCTTTATGGAAATGTATTCCTTAGCAATTCGTTGTAATTTTTTGTGTATTGTTTCTTGCTGGTTCATAATTAATATGGGACAAGAGACATGTAATGTTCCTTTCTCTTTGGAACTGAATGTACATATATGAAAATCAGTCAGCTTGTTGTATAACCTTTTTTACTTGCAGACAATTAGAAGGAAGAAGAAAGTTCAAATACCAGTAAGTCGTCCTGATCCTGAACCAGTATCTGATAATGAAGAAGATAGTTATGATGACGAAATACATGATCCAAGAAGTAGCCGGAGTGGCGTGGTTAACAGAAGGAGTGAGAAGATGTGGCCGAGGGAGAGAAGTGCAAGTAGAGAGAGGAGCTTGTCTCCACGATCAGACAGGCGGTCAGTGGCTTCTAGCCAGCCTGCCAAACCTACCAAAGTCACCTTGGTGAAATCCCGGAAAAATGAAGGTATTCTCTGCCAACTCTTGGGGTTATTTTCTCATGAAAATTTAAAACAATTTTAATGAGAAGTACAGTTGCTGTCTCTTCATGTCTTTGCCTTGTTGTCTTAGTGTTTGTGTTCTATTGCTGTAAGTCAGATCTTGTTATGGCAGGTTTCAGGGACTGTTCATTTTCTCTATTGGAACAGGTAGGACTTCAAGTGAATTGTCCAGTAGTTGGCTTTTGGATTTGTTGTTGTGATCAGAACAGCCAAATACAAATTATGCTAACAAGAAATGTCACAGTATCACCAAATTGAAATTCAGTGTTTTTCTTAACTGTTAGTAGTATAATTATGGAGAGAAATCCTGGGACTTTGTTGTTGTTGTTGTTACAAGGTCTGGCTCTGTTACCCAGGCTGGAGTGCAGTGGCATGATCTCAGCTCACTGCAAACTTTGCCTCCTGGGCTCAAGCAATCCTCCCATCTCAGCCTCCCTAGTAGCTGGGACTGCAAGTGCACACCACCATGTCCAGCTAATTTTTAAATTTTGGATAGAGACAGGGTTTTGCCATGTTGCCCAGGCTAGTCTCAAACTTAATCCACCTGAGCTCAAGCAATCCACCTGCCTTGGCCTTCCACAGTGCTGGAATTACAGGTGGGAAGCCACTGCACCCTGCTGGGACTTATTCCCCCTCACTCCAGACTTTTTTTAAATGGAGGAATTAAAAAGAACCCCTTATACCATGTTTCTGTATAATGCAGGATTTCTTTGAAGTTTCTGAAACTGAAGCTCAGCTGCTTTCCCTCATGCTTATTAAATTTGATAAAAAATGGATCTGACTGTGGCTTCCTCTACCTTTGGGCATGCATGGCTGATTATATAAAGGGCATTACATTAGGAATATTATCAAGCCTTACTTTGATCTGCCTTAATGCTTGGCATATCTCCTAGGTAGTATTCCCTACCCCCACTCTAGAGCAGACTTCTCAGTGAAGTTTTCGACATTTGCTGTTTCTACTTCGTTTCACTCTTACTTCTCAACCCTCTCTGGTCTAGTATCTTTCCCCATCTTCCCCCAAAAATGTTCACACTAAATCTAATTTTTTCAGTCTCTAGCTTGCTTGTCTTTCCAGTGTCATCTCACATGGTTAACCACTCCTTACTTTTAAAAATAAAGTTGTCTTTTGGTAATACTGCATCTTTCTGGTATTCAACCCCCCACCTTTCTTTCTGTGTCTTTTGCAAACTCATTCTCCTCACCCTGCCCTTTATAACATTCTGTCAGTTTCTCTCCTAGAATCTTTTTTTCCACTTAATATTTTTTTTTCTTTTCCTCAGGTTGAATAACAATTTCTTTAGGCAATCTCATCTGTTCCCCTGTTTCCAGTCACTGCTGGTGATGGCAGAACTTCTTTTTCCAGCCCAAATCTGTACACTCTTATGTTCTAGCTTTTAGGCATATTCACTTAGATGTTCCTTTAGGTCCCTGAAACACAGCACATCTCAAATGAAACGCATCTCTCTCTCCACATTTTTCTTTGTATTTCTCATGAAGTATTCTGTTGAATGTGTTCCTATTTATCCAGGCCATTCCCAGATGACATGGTAGTTACCCTTGACATCTCTTTTTTTCCCTTGCATGGTGAATGTCCTCACTTCTGAGTACCACGCTTACTCATCCCACTCTTTCTCCACTGCCTCCACCCTTTTCCAAGCCACTGTCATCTGTTACTTAGACTCATTTGGTCTCATGGGTTGTCTCTTGCATCCCTTTAAGTTGATTCCGCAGATTTCTTCATGGGTGAAGGATCCTATGTGACACTTCTTACTCTTCAACCCTTTTCTTCATTCATTCTCAGTTTCAGCCACACTAGACTTAACGACTTCAATAAATCCACCAGGTTTTTTCTACATAACTCAGTGCATTTGTTTTCAGCCAGCACTCACCCCGTACATCCCCTCCCACACAAACCCTTCAGATTTAGTTTTAATCTTTCTTTAAGTTTTAGCTTTAGTATTTCTTCCTTGGGGAGGCCTTCTCTGCTCCCGCAGGAGGTGCAGAACCTTGTGTTTCTGCTCTCTGAACTCTTCGCGTTTGCAGTTGCTATCATCCTCTTTTTCCACTGGCTGTAAACTTCCAGAGAGCAGGAACTGTCTCGTTTGCTGCTTTCTCCCTTATTCCTGGTACCTGGTACCTAGTTGGTATATACCCCCAAGAAGTATTTAGAATGAATGAATAAACTAATGTACAAGGGATATTTTGGGTCATCTGTGTAATGGTCATTTATATGTATTTAATCTTGAAGAAGTCTTTTAACCAATACCGCATCCTTCTGTCATGTAATGACCATATGGTTGACTGCCTTACTCCTTGCCTGTATCTCCTAATACGCCATTTTCTTTACCCTGATTCTGTTTCTGTCTGTGAGTCCTCTTTGCATGTTTTTGTTTGTTTGTTTGTTTGTTTGTTTGTCTGTTTTTGAGACGGTCTTGCTCTGTCACCAGGCACCAGGACGGAGTGCAGTGGAACAACCTCGGCTCACTGCGGTATCCGCCTCTTGGGATCAAGTAATTCTCCTGCCTCAACCTCCCGAGTAGCTGGGACTACAGGCACACACCACCATGCCCAGCTAATTTTTGTATTTTTTAATAGAGATGGGGTTTCACCATGTTGGCCAGGATGGTCTCGATCTCTTGACCTCGTGATCCGCCCACCTCGGCCTCCCAAAGTGCTGGGATTACAGGCATAAGCCACTGCACCCAGCCTGAATGTTTGTTTTAAGTTAAACTGTAACTCTGATGTAATTTTTAGACACTTAGGTAGTAGGTCTGCTAATTTATTCCATATTCAAAACAATTTTCTGTTTTCCATCTTGGTTTTTAGTTTTGTTTTTAATGCAGTAAGACTCTCCACAGAATCAGGGACAATCCTTAGTATATTGATAGATGTAGTTATTGGTCTTATTTTTCTTAAAATGTATTTTTCTGCAGCTGTTCGAATAACTTGGGCAGTTCTCTGGACTCTGCTAGTAATTTCTTCAACTTCACTCTTGGACACTTTGTTGGTTGTTTAAAGGAGAGGACTGGCATTACATGTCCTGCCCACATCAGCCTGACTGGTTGTAAGCCTTTGCACTCATACTTAGTATATGCTGCTGTGTGTGTCTCTCTGGTGTTAGGGGGGTGTAGAATCAGAAAATTTTTGATCTCAGAGCTGTGAAAAATAGAAATAGTGTATGCATGGTAACAGCCATCAATAAAATAGTATTTCAAAGTTTTTCAAACCTCAAGCAGTTTACTGTTTAGAATTCTATTTCTAGGCAGACATAGTGTGACACATGTTTGTTATTCCCAGCTACTCTGGAGCCTGAGGCAGGAGGGTTGTTTGACTCCAGGAATTCAAGTCCAGCGTTGCAACATAGTGAGACCCTGTCTCTGAAAGAAAATTATATTCCTTAAGCATTCTGAAGAGCTAGTGTATCAATGCTTGGTCAAAAAGAAACAGTGTCTTCTTGGGGCTTTTTTCCTTTTCAGTAATATGGGAGCACAGGGTATCCGTCCTTCATTTGAGCACAGGGTATCCGTCCTTCATTTGAACCATACATTTACACTTTGCTTTCGCGGAGACATTGCAGACTTGCTAATCAGAGGGAATGTCTTATTTGCAGAGTGGCCAAGAAAATTTCTTTTTCTCAATTGTACTTAAAAACTCTATGCAGTGGTTATTAGTTTAGTTGTATACTTGTAAAATCTATTTAGATGTCTTAGGATGTAACACTAAAAACATTTAATAATATTATTTCAGAATATGGTCTTCGATTGGCGAGCCATATATTTGTTAAAGAAATTTCACAAGATAGTTTGGCAGCAAGAGATGGCAATATTCAAGAAGGTGATGTTGTATTGAAGGTATAGTCATGTTCTTATATTTCAATGAACTGAAATAGAAGACAAATTCTAGAGTTACCATGTAGTTTGTGCTCTTGTTTGAAGCAATTTTGCCAAAGAGAATTAAAAATCAGTGTTTGGGGGAGAGGGATATAAATTACCTTTACACATTATTACATGTTAACACTGGTACTTTAGGTTTCACAGGGTCATCCTAAGATAAATGTCACTCGCCAGTAGGGACTACTTTGTGGATAGGTGTGTCTGTTCTTAAACATTGGGAAGTTTTGATAATTGCTTCCAGGTATCTTCGAAATGCTTGTTTGTTTGTTTATAAGTAATGGAAAGTAATAGGCTTTTGGGAAGGAGTCAGGGGATCTAATTTGAGTTTTTCTGATAGCAACAGTGCAGTAAAGATTTTATCTCAGAAAGATGGAATACTCTGATAGTTTAGAAAAGTATTAAAGAGACTATTTTGGTTCTTATAGCAAGAAATAGTTTGAATATTCCTGTTTATAGCAAACTAAGTTAACATTTGTATTTTAACCATTTACTTTTAACCTGTAATTTATTTTCTATTGCAGATAAATGGTACTGTGACAGAAAATATGTCATTGACAGATGCAAAGACATTGATAGAGAGATCTAAAGGCAAATTAAAAATGGTAGTTCAGAGAGATGAACGCGCTACGCTGTTGAATGTCCCTGATCTTTCTGACAGCATCCACTCTGCTAATGCCTCTGAGAGAGATGGTGAGTGTGATTCTGTTTGAAGGTTCCCTCCAAGTGACCTAGTTTCTTAAAATACTAGGGAGATTAGACATCTTTGAATGAAACAAGAATTTTCTACAAGCCAAATACTTTCAGAATCCGAGAGTTTTATATATATATATAATGTATTTTTTTCCCCTGTAGACAACTCACCACTATTGATTTGATCACTGGCTGATGAAATTAATGCTTAAACTTTTCCGTTTTATATGTAATTATACTTACTAGCTTATCTTCATTATCACTGGAATACCTTATACTGACTGTAATTATTTTTGTGGCAAACTAAGTAGCACTCTCGTTTCTTTAACAGACATTTCAGAAATTCAGTCACTAGCATCAGATCATTCTGGGCGGTCACATGATAGGCCTCCCCGCCGCAGCCGGTCACGATCTCCTGACCAGCGGTCAGAACCTTCTGATCATTCGAGACACTCTCCACAGCAGGCGAGCAGTGGCAGGTAAGAACACTCTACCTTTTAAAATACAGAGATTTTGTTTGCTTAATACCAGTATCTGAAATTGCTTACAAATACAATTAAAAGATGGATTACTTTTGAATATTCAAGATTATCTATCTTTCTCAATTTAGACACTTTTAAAATCTAAAATAACAGCAAACTTTTCCTTAAAGGGCCAGATAGTAAACACATGTCAGTCATGCAAGCCATGGAGTCCTTGTCACTGCTCAACTGCAAAAGCAACCATAGACAATATGTAAATGAAAGGGGCATGACTGTGTTCCCATAAAACTTTATTTACAAAAACAGTTGATCCACAGCTGCAGTTTGCCATACTTTTGCATTAGAAGATGCTAGCAAACTTCACGAATCTACTACTTGGGAAAGTTAACTATAGAAGTCCTTTAATAAACACATTAACCTGGACTTTTAAAATACATTAGTGTTGGCTGGGCGTGGTGGCTCAGGCCTATAATCCCAGCACTTTGGGTAACCAAGGCAGGCAGATCACTTGAGGCCAGGAGATGAAGACCAGCCTGGCCAACATGGTAAAGCCTTGTCTCTATTAAAAAATATAAAAATCGGCCAGGCGCGGTGGCTCACGCCTGTAATCTCAGCACTTTGGGAGGCCGAGGCGGGTGGATCACGAGGTCAAGAGATCGAGACCATCCCGGTCAACATGGTTAAACCCCGTCTCTACTAAAAATACCAAAAATTAGCTGGGCATGGTGGCGCGTGCCTGTAATCCCAGCTACTCAGGAGGCTGAGGCAGCAGAATTGCCTGAACCCAGGAGGCGGAGGTTGCGGTGAGCCGAGATCGCGCCATTGCACTCCAGCCTGGGTAACAAGAGCGAAACTCCGTCCAAAAAAAAAAAATGTATATATATATATAAAAATTACCCAGGTGTGTTGGTACACTCTTGTAATCCCAGCTACTCAGGAAGCTGAGACTGGAGAATTGCTTGAATCGAGGAAGTGGAGATTGCAGTGAACTGAGATAGCGTCACTGCACTCCAGCCTTGATGACAGAGCAGGACTCTTTCTCAAAAACAAAACAAAACACTAGTATTTATGCCAAAGGATCTGGTATAATGGTAGTATGTGACCTACCTGAGTTTGTCTGTCTTTAGAGTCACATGTACATTTGAGAATTTGAAGAAAATTATGATTCTTCTCTCCAGAAAAATGCAAATGTGCACACAGCAATTTGCATACAATTTCTGGATCTTCCTAAGGCTCTATAGGCTACCAGCAGACCCATGGTTAACTGCAGTCCCAATGAAGATCACTTGAAACATGAGTCCAGAGCTGAAGAGATAGTTTAGAAGAAAAGGGAACCCGTATATGTTGTTGACGGGAATGTAAATTGATAGGGACATTCTGGAAAACAATGTGGAGGTTCCTCAAAAAATTAAAACTAGATCTACCAGATGATCCATCAATTCCACTTTGGGGTACATAACCCAAAGGAAATGAAATCACTGTCTCAAAGAGAGATCTGCACTCCCCTGTTTGTTGCAGCATTATTCACAGTAGCCAAGATATGGAGTCAGTCTAAATGTCCATCAATAGATGAATGGATAAAGAAAATGTGGTATATGTTTCTACACACACAATTAAGTATGATTCAGCCTTTAAAAAGAAGGAAATCCTGCCATTTGGAACAACATGAATGACCCTGGAGGGGATTGTGCTAAGTAAATAACCGGACACCGACAGACAAACACTGCATGACCTCACTTACTGTGGTTACCTAAGCAAGCTGAACTCATAGACACAGACAGTAGAATGCTGGGGTTGGGGGCAGGGAGAAATGGGAAGATGTTGGTTAAAGGGTACACAGTTTTAATTATAAGGGAAATAAGTTCTGGAGACCTGATTTACAGTGTGGTAACTGGAGTTAATTATAGTTGAAATTTGCTAAGAGAGTAGATCTTAAGGTATTCTTTTGACACACATTAAGAAAAGTATGTGAGGTATGGATATGTTAATTAACCTGGTTAGGGTCGTCATTTGAATATGTATATCAAAGCAAGTATCACTGTTGTATACCTTTAATAGATACTATCTTTGTTTGTGAATTAGATCTCAAAGCTGGAAGGAAAAAGTAAATTTGGGTCTAAATCTGAAGAGGTTATTTAGGATTAGAGATGTTGAATTGAGACTTAAACTTGCATAGAGGTGTTAGCTGAAGCCACAGAAGTCAATAACATTGCTAAGAGAAACGATGATTTGGAAAGAAGGCCGAGAACTGGGAGGACTGGCTAACAGGGAGCACATTCTTCTAGGAAGATGAGGAGGCAAGGGGGAAATAAGAGGAGAGGAGTGCCTCGCCAGGAGAGAGGGTTTTTTTAAAGTTTATAAAAACCATAGTGACACAATAGTTAAAACTGTATATTCCAGAGAAGATTAGCATGGCCCCTGCACAAGGATGACACACAAATTCATGAAGTGTGGTCCATATTTGAAAAAAACAAAACAAAACAAAACAAAAAAACAACTATATTCACAAAAGTGTTTGGCTTTCTACTAAAATGGGAACTAGTAAGAGGATAACTTGTAAGAACTATGAATATGGTTGCTAATGTTGTATCCAGTGTAGTTTTAATATATTTGTGAAGCTGATTATTTCTAAGTTTCAAACTTGGATTTCTAAATTATAGGAACGCTTGTGTTTGTTTTAAGGATGTAATGATTTTTTAAAGGAATGTTACGGCATGTTACATGTAAAGTTGGCTAATCTTTTAACTGATGATGATTTTTAATTGCTGCAGTTCTAAAAATCTTCCTGAGACAGCATAGATGTTATCAGGAAAAGGATTACTGCTGAAACACATGCATGCACAGTGATAGAACACCTTTCATGATTCATGGGAGCTGCCGAAATTTTAACATCCCCGACTCAGCTAGAAACCAGGCTTATCTCAAGTAATTTGGACATGATTTCTCCTTTTAAATAAAACAATCTTAATCAAAATCTCAAATGTTCGGACATTAGTTTGGATTGTAAACAAATTCTAAATCCTAGAAAATTCTTTTTGGTATCTACTTTGTTCATTTAGATTTCTTCAACATTTAGAATCTGTAGCCTTAACTTAAAAGTTGAGGTTTTTTCCCCCTAAAATTACTATTTTTGTATTATATTGTAATGTTTTATTTCTCCTCGGAATCTTAAGTATTCTCATTGGTAGCACCAGTAATATGGGAGCTTTTAAAAATATAGACTTCTGGGGTTGCCTTCAGTTCATCTGAGACTGAGGCCATTTGACTCTCAAATAACCTGGGGGTTAGAGGTACCAACACTTCTGTCCCACCCACAGCACACAGTCACAAATCTACCTGTGATTTTTAACTTCCCAGAAGCGTAACTATTAACAACCTATTGTTGACTGGAGGCTTACTGATAACATAAACAGTACAAAGTTTGTAGGTTAGATGTATTATATACTGTATGCTTTTAAAGTAAGCTAAAGAAAAGAAAGTTAATTTTAAAAATCATAAGAGAAAATACATTTACTGTTCATTAAGTGGAAGTGGACCATCATAAAGGTCTTCGTCCTTGTTTTTCTTCATCCCTCATTTCCTTCATTCTTGTTATCACATTCAGTCGTCTGAGGAAGAGGGAGGGGTTGGTCTTTCTGTGCTGTGAGTGGCAGAGATGGAAGAGAATTCGAGTATAAGAGGACACACACAGTTCAATCCCATGCTCTTCAAGGATCAGCTGTACTTTTTTTTGAGCTCCTGGTATTTTTCTCTTCTGCGCACTACTAGCTATGGAAACTACTGATTAGAAAGTATAGTGTATAAAATCAAATATAGTACTTCAAGCACAGAAGGAAAAACTCTTCAGGTTCTTTTCATATTTTTGTGGTGAGAATTTAATGCCTGAAAATTTAGTAATCTGCCTACAGACAAGATATAAATAGTACCAGTTGCTTAAAGGTTTCATTTCCACCCTAAAGTTTAATCTTCAAATCCTGTAACTGTGGAGTTTTAATTTAGAGCATGACCTGCATTTTGAGAAATAACTTACATACATTTTAAGAGTAAAATGCTAGCGTTAAAAAAAAAAAAAAAAAAAGGCTTTCGGACTTCCATGTAGTCCTTTGCTTTTGTTACTTAATTTTGGCTGTATAAGTGTCTTTTTGTTTTACAAACTGTGTTTAAATTATCTTTAAAGAAGTGATACAAAAATGTCTTGGTCTCTGTGAGAAAAGTTTCACTTGAGTGTAAAAGGAAGTCTATCATGGCAAACATCAGCCTTGCCCTATTCTCTTCCTAGATTGCTGAATATTTTTGTATATTTTTAGGATGTGCCATTATCTGCTGAGAATAACCTCTTCATCTTCATTTTGTTAGAAGCGATAGAATATAGCGATTTCTAAGGGCTTTGGAGCCAGACTTCTGCATTCAAGTCCCAGTCTGCCATTGGTAACTTGCATAACCTTGAAACCTCTGTGTTTCAGCATCACCATCTGCAGTGAAGCAGGCAGGTCATATGTTACAGAATGGTGAGAAATTAGTTATTACAATACCTGGTGCACATGTTCAATACTGTAATTTTTGTGGTGATTCATAGTAGTAATAATAGTATCATAAGTTAGAATTTCCAAATGTGCTTTCTCATCTGCTCTGAGATTTCCTCATTCTGTATTTAAGCAAACTAAAATTGAAAGGTCATGATAAAAAGTCCATGGTTACGTTGTTGACATGGGATTGGGGCCAGGATTAAAACTGTTGGCTTTTTGACCCAAATCTTTGACCTTACTGATGTAGAGAAAGAAATTTCGTAGCTTAATTACTACTTAATCTTCAGGAAACTAAAATCCACAAGAGTTACATTGTTGTCATGACCTACTTATGTTCCTCTGTGTGATATTCTTTTCTTAGAGAGCAAACATATGGAGAGAATGCTGAGAAAAACACACAAGCTTGTTCTTCATTATAATTAGATGAACAAAGTACCCTCACTGTTGTCTAGAACTGGAGTTGGCAGACTG